CCACAAGCAGGCATAGCACAACACTCACGTAACGAGTCAACTAGCCTTGGACTTCAACAATGGGCAGATGAATCTGATGTTAGGAACTGGAGGCTTATTTCAGTCTTGAATGTCTCCTACAAGCTTCTCCCCAAAGTTATGGCAACTAGACTAGTTAGATACCTTCCTAAGGTAATTGGCAAGGAACAAAGCGCCTTTGTAAAACACAAATCCATTATGGAGAACATCGCTGCTACCATGTTGGCTCTATAAATAATTTAGAGAGAGGATATGAATGTCTCGATGCTTCTGTTGGATATGAAGAAAACATATAATCGTGTTGGTTGGACTCTTGTAATGACCACCATTATTCACATGGAATTTGACCGTAATTTCTATAAATGAGTCTCACTCATGTATTCGACAATAACCACAACAGTTATGGTAAACAGTTAGATATCTCGTGGATTCTCATTGACATGTTCGCTGCGCCAGAGTTTCCCCCTGGCTCCACTATTATTCGTCATTCACCTAGAAATCCTAGTGGATAGTATAAGACATAATGAGCATATAATGGGCCTCTCCATCCCCCTTCCTGATCAGTGGAAGGGGGGGGCACCTAAAAATCTTAGTGGATAATATAAGACATAATGAGCATATAATTGACCTCTTAATCTCCCCTCCTGATCAATGGAAGGGGTGGCCCTAGCAAAAGATCTGACACTGGCTTGTATGAATTCCAAAGAGAATCTAATGGAATTGAGGAAAGTGTTAAACAAGCACTGCGATCCGATATAAACTGGAATAAATTTGTTTATTTTTCGCTAGATTCTTACTCCTTGCACGTTAATTGGGGGATTAAGAAAGTACGTACTGATACCTTTGAGCGTTTTCTGGGAGTACAAGTTTCATTGACAGATAACACGGCGTACTAAGATGTCATGCTTAAAGAAAAATTGTAAACAAACTTGCATCCTTACAAAGTATGAGGCACCTCTCCCTGCTGGAAAAAGTCTTGGTGATCTCTTCAGCTACCTTTGCAGTGTTATCGTATACTCCGACGGTTCACCTTCTTGGAGAAGAATCATATAAAGAAAATCAGAAAATCAGTTGCCAGACTCTTGTGGAAACCGGAAGGAAGAGCTCGGGAATGATTTATTGCTAAAGTCGTATGGGAAATTGTTATTTTTCCCTGAGCGGAGGGTGGTCTAGGCATTCTAGATCCACAATAACAAAATATAGCCTTGTTAGTAAAATGGTCAATTAAGGTCATGACAACGGATGTAAAAGACCTATGGTTTAAATTTGCAGTATATATTTTAATGAGAGAATGATCACTGGGCAGGAAAGAAGATGTTGCGGCATGTCTGTTGATTAAATCGTACGTGCAAAAACATCTTAAATCCAAGTTTTGGAGAAGTGTTTTTTATGCCTAGAGGAAGATTTTCCCAATGGAAAGTGACAAGCCACAATCTAGGGACATTGTGCTAAACCATATAATATTTGAAAATCCGCTAATCAAAGATGGAAGTGGTCGCGAGTTCTCTGGCCATGACTCATCAGGTAATTTTGGTAAAGCCTGAATCGAGAGAGAAGTTGTTAGGGTAAGTGACCTTCGGAATCCCCAAAGAAGAGACTAGTATTTAATAGAGGAGATGAAAGTTAAACTAGGCAGACTAAGAAAAGTACTGGACAGACTCAAGAAAATCCAACAGTCAATTCCTTTCTCATGGGTTGCCATTCTGAAAGAGGCTCAAATTCCAGTAGTTGGATTATGGTGTCGGTCCAACCACCAGGGGGACATAATTCTGCAGATTACAAATTCCCTGGATGAGGAGGGATGAGTGGCTAAACAATTGGGAATGAAAGTGGTAACAAACTACACAAAGGAACTTCATCCACTTTTCGGATCAATCAAAATCTCCTTCATTGACGGCCTACAAGAAATTGCAGTAACGACGCATTTGAAAAAGAGTCAGGAAAATCGAGGGACCTATTGGTGCGCAACCCTCTCTATGGGACTACAACCACTGGCGCAAGTCGGGGTGGATGTTAGGTCAGTAGGGTGGTTTGTAAACAACATTCGAAAAATAGCATCTTTGAATAACTTTTCTACCATTATCGCTTTAAAGATCCAGAGTGACAAACCCCCCTGTCACCTCGGTAGCGGAAAGAAGGAAAAATGCAGATTTATTGATGATTCCGGAAGAACAACCGACCTCGCTGTAGCAGCAATATAAAGCCATGTTTTCACAAAAATTGGCAAGTCTGCTATGGTTACAGTCGTACTTGGCAGTGGCGTCGGCGGTAAGTCTAGCCTTGAAAGGCATGAAGATCTCCACTACCTGCATCAGATGCAAATGGCATTGGAAAAACAATCGTCATTTATGACTTTCTTGCCCAGATTCCAGGAGGATCTGGGACTGGTGGATCAGGCACTGGAAAAATATCACAAAGGACTCCTTTCGATGGACATATGAGTGAATAATTTATGGAACACACCAAAAGGGCATCATTGCTCAGACGATAAGGGCAATCCTGATGAAAGTGATTCGGGATGACCGAAACAATCAACTGTTCAGATCATCATACAATTTGGACCCACAAGTTAAAAAATTGATAGCCCAACATATTAGACTTCTAATTAGATCTGATTATATCATACATAAGCTTCCAAGTTCTGTTTATTCCAGGAATTGGTTTTGGAACGCCTGGGGGAGGGAATCCATGCTTGTTAAATTAGACTTTGTCGGTAGGCTGAGTTTTTGTCAGTGGTTGTTATCACCAGTGGGACATGGGAAGCGCTTTAGCTCCCAAACAATAGAGTCTGCTTTAACAGGTTCAGTATAGAGGAAGTGGACTGCTGTTTAAAAATGGGCACCTTGTATTACGTTGTTTTTTACTTTGGGGAGCTATTGTTTAGTTCAAAGGGACACTGGACCCGGTTTCCAGAAGCCTAAGCTGGGTGTTGGCCCCAATAATTTTCTCGGGATGTTGTGGGGTTTCCTGGTCCCTATCTCCTTTGATAGGAGCAATAAAGTTTTCATGGTTCTAAAAAAAAAAAAAAAAACAGCGACGAGGAAGAGTGAATGAGGGGGCTACCCTGGAGCCCCCTGGGGGATCCCCTTCTGTCTCCCCCCCACCCCTCAGCCCTGGGCACTGCATCAGAAACTCTATAGGACATTGACCTACTAACCCACCCAATCAATCCCCCCGTTGTCTGGGGCATCAGAAACTCTATTGGACATCGACCTACTACCCCGCCCAGTCAATACCCCAATTGTCTGGGGCAATTAATGCTGCAGGGGGTTCCTTCCTCTTCTGTTCCTGATACTTCTCAGATGTTACCAGCAGTTGTATCAAAAAAGGGTTGTATAAGGCTTGGACCCCACTGGCTGGCGGCTGGAAAAGGTACTTGGCCGCTGGTTTGTGGCCAACATCGATGGAAAGGAATTGGCACGTTTCGACGCGACCCCACCGCTGATTTGTGGCGGGGCTTTGGAAACGGCCAGGCTTGCTGCATTAGGAAACCGGAGAGGGGCCCCTCCTGAAAAGGAAAGTTCGGATGGCCTGCATGGACCAGCGGACATGCAAACCACCAACGGCGCGTTTGGACGATTCGTGCGATATGCACTTCAAGCGCTGTGTTTCCCCCTTGTCCAGCCTCAAGTCCGTGACGCCCGTGAACTGCACCACACCTTGCTGGTCCCCTATGCCAACGGCCGACACTTTGCCCTCCCTACCCTGCTGGAGGCCGTTTCGGAAAGGAGGGCCGGTTTCTGCCAGAGACTTTTCCAGCCACCAGCCATGTAGAAACATGGCCAACAGTGTTTCCAGAACGGCAGTAGGGTCTGAAACCGACGTTAGAATACCTCTAAAAAACTTCCTGGCGGCCCACGCCAAAACAATTCCAGCCGCCGGCCAGTGGGGTCCAAGCCTAAGGGACGCTGGACCCGGTTTCTTACAGGTGCTGCTCCTTGCAGGTGCTGCTCCCCACCAATAGACTGGAGCATCCAGCGGCAGGTTACCAGGAGGAGGTGCTCTCATCTCCCCGCCTGGTATTCCGAGGCTGGTTTTCAAAAAAAAAAGGAAGAAATGGCGCGGGACTCCTTTTGGTGAGGCCGCCAGCCATTTTGCTCCAACCGCCGAGCCCTGAAAGTTGAGGCAACATGCAAGCTGCAACTTTGAAAAAAATGGCTGGGAAACGTACAGGTGGGAGGCCCTCGTTCCCTTGCTGGCCCACAAACTGGGTGAGGGCTCCAGACGCAAGACATGGTCCTCGGTGAACTGCCTCCATGTGATCTACGATCTCGGGCCGTTGTGAGAAAACCCTAGGGTATCTCAGACATTTTCTCTAACATGGAGGGTGTATTTCAGACATTTTCTCTAGCATAATGGGCTCGACACGTATGCGAACCATTTCAAAAGGCTAGGGGTATTCCAGACATTTTCTCTAACGTAGAGCGCTCCGCGCATACGCGAGCGACTGCAGACCAAACGGTCGTGGGCGAAACTGAATCAAGATCGCGGTTCGGTGCCCGCGAACAGAACGGATTGAACATTTGAAAAACGAAAAGAACGAGAAGAACGGCCGGCGCGAGCGCCCCTTGTAGGATGTTGTGGGCTGAGCCTTTTCCCTACCGCCTGTTGGTTGGCATGGTGTAGGACGTCAGATCGAATCGGTCTGGAAGGGCGCCATCGAATGACGGCCAGCAACACAGGCAGGTCTGGGAAGCCTTGGGAGCACACAAATTTAGGGCCTCGCTCCATTACTCTCGATTGTGCAAACGAGAGTGAATCTTCCGCTAGAATACGGAAAGAGACACCACCATGAGTTTTGTCTTTTGTGGATGTAGGTGGAGCGACGCCATTAGTAGGCACTTCTGCGAACGTATGTGACGCCGTCAACGACCAGATTCCGTCGGAGGAGCCTGGGTGTGCCCTGACTGCTTGCTGCCAGGGGGTAGTCCGCCGTATCGATTTCCGTATCGGTTTCGCATGCGCGCTCCCGCGCATGACGTCCTGTGTTTCCCGCGCACGCCATCTCCCTCTCACCTGCTGAGTTGGGTTCGCTGGGCTTCCGTCCTTACCGTCTCTCTCGCTCCCCTCTTCTTCCTCCCTGTCCACCTCGTCCTCTCTGCCTGTGCCGGAGGGGGATCGTCTTGCCTGTCGGCCGATCTATCCATCGCTTGCTGCTGCTGAGCGATCGGGCTCCCGTTTGTGAAGACGACGAAGAGGAGGGGGAAGCTGAAGCCGAACCGGCGATGGCGTTGCACAGGGAATTTCACGGGCCGGACTTCTCTAGCGAGAAAGAGAAATGCCGAGATTTCCTCTTGAGGTTTGCGAGTGACAAGGGAGCGGGTCGAGCGAAGTACATGGACATTCTTCATCAGATCTCGAATCGCGCCAGTCGACGGGTGGATATCGAGCTCAATGACGTGGAAGCATTTGAGAACGGCGACATGTTGGTGGCCAGCATTTGCTCCAACGCCCGTCGATACATTTCTATTTTCTCGGAGGCGATCGACGAGATAATGCCAGAACCAACGGAGTTGCAAACGACGGAGGACGTGTTCGACGTGCTGATGCGGCAGCGGATGGAGGAGAATGGCGGCATGGATGGCACACGCGGCAGCGGAGAGAATCCAGCTGGCGGCGGGGCCGATGGTTCGGCGAACCGGGACTCCGCGCAGCAGTTGCCGCCATCCCTGCGCCGCCGGTACGAGGTGCGCATCAAGCCTTTGACTTCCGCAAAGCCGCGATCGCTGAGGGAAGTGAAGGCGGCCGATATTGGACACCTGGTGTGCATCAAGGGTATCGTGACGAGAGTGACGGATGTGAAGCCGTTGATGTCGGTCGCGACGTACACGTGCGACATCTGCGGCTTCGAGATCTACCAAGAGGTTACTGGTCGGACGTTCATGCCGTTGGTAGAGTGTCCGAGCGCGCGGTGCAAGATGAACAACATGAAGGGGCAGCTGCATCTACAGACACGAGGGTCTAAGTTCATCAAGTTTCAAGAGGCGAAGATTCAGGAAATGGCGGATCAAGTGCCGAAGGGGAACATTCCAAGATCGATGACAGTGCACCTGAACGGTGAGTTAACGAGGCTGATCTCTCCAGGCGATGTAGTGGCACTGGGGGGGATATTTCTTCCTGCCCCCCAGGCGGGGTTTCGAGCAATGAGGGCGGGGTTGGTGGCCGACACGTACCTCGAAACGATGTCGATCACGCAGTACAAGAAGAGATATGAGGAGTACGAGCACCATCCGGAGGCGAGGGAGGAGGTGGATAGGATCGCAAGAGGGGGGGAGGTGTACAATCGGCTCTCTAGGTCCATAGCGCCCGAGATCTACGGGCACGATGACGTGAAGAAGGCGCTGTTGTTGTTGCTTGTCGGCGCGCCGTCAAGGCAGTTGAAAGATGGGATGAAAATTCGTGGAGATCTCCATGTCTGCTTGATGGGCGATCCTGGAGTGGCGAAGAGTCAGCTGCTGAAGCACATAGTCATGGTGGCACCTCGAGGGGTGTATACGACCGGTCGGGGGAGCAGCGGGGTCGGTCTGACGGCGGCGGTCCACCGCGACAGCGTCACGAGCGAGATGGTTCTCGAAGGCGGCGCCCTCGTCCTCGCCGATATGGGGATCTGTGCCATCGACGAGTTCGACAAGATGGAGGAGAGCGATCGGACGGCTATCCATGAAGTGATGGAGCAACAGACGGTGTCGATCGCCAAGGCGGGAATTACCACCAGTCTGAACGCGCGAACTGCAGTGCTTGCGGCGGCTAATCCGGCCTGGGGGAGGTACGACATGAGGAGGACGCCCGCGGAGAACATCAACTTGCCCCCCGCGCTTCTGTCCAGGTTCGATCTCATGTGGCTGATTCTGGACCAAGGGGACGAAGATCAGGACCAGGCCATGGCCAGGCACATTCTGCACGTGCACCAGCACTGCGAGGCCCCGGCTCTTCAGTTCCAGCCCATCGAACCGAACATCCTGAGGGCTTACTTGGCGGAGGCGCGCAGGTTTAACCCCTACATTCCCCGCGAGCTGACAGAATACATAGCGAGTGCCTACGCTACCCTGCGGCAGGAAGAAGCGCAGAGCGAAGTGCCGCATTCGTACACGACGGCGAGAACTCTTCTAAGCATCATGCGGCTCTCCGAGGCTCTTGCCCGACTACGGTTTTCGACCACCGTTGATCAGGCGGATGTGGACGAAGCTCTCAGATTGATGCACATGTCGAAATTCTCTCTCTACGCAGACGAGCGGAAGAGGAGTGGCCTGGATGCCATATCCGACATCTATGCTACCATAAGGGACGAAGCTGCTCGACGGGACACGTTGGACGTGACTTATGCCGACGCGCTCAACTGGATTGCACGGAAAGGGCTCAAAGAAGCTCAACTCAAGGAATGCTTGGAAGAGTACGCGTCCTTGAATGTCTGGCAGATTAACCCGACGACGCTGGATATCCATTTCATAGACAATTAGTAGTAATTTATGTGCGCATCGGAGG